TCTGGGTGTCAGGTCAGGATATGTCATGTCATACTTTCAGGCTTCCCTGAGAACTATATGCTTTCCTTTAACTATCCATGTATCTCTGTAAAGGTCATTATTAAGACTCACAAGAATCTGGAAACTCTAGCTTCTGCCCTTGAGACCAAGATTCATACCAGTAACAATAGTACTTTTTAATTAATTTTTTTTCAGATAGTATATTGTGATGTTTCTCCCTCTCTTATCTCTTCCCACATCCTCTCCACCTCCTTACCTACTCAACTTCCTGTGTTCTTTATTGATAATCAAAACAAACAAACAAATAAACAAACAAACCCACTCAGCAAGACAGACAGAAAGCTCAAGCAAACACACAAGAACCATGGAGTTTGTTTTGTATTAGCTAACTACTTCTGGGCATGGGGCCTGTCCTTGAGTGTGGCTGACATATCTAGTGACACATCTATCAGTTGCAAATAGTTTCTTGGTTAGAAGTAAAATCCTGTCTACTTTACTCTCTCGGTGCTGGGACCCCATCTGGCTTGAACCTGTACAAGTCCAATAGTACTTATTTTAAGAAGACATTTTATTAAAGATTTTTAAGGTTCTAAAGGCATTTATTTCTACACCTAAGACTTAGCTATATTCTAAAGCACATACTTTTCCAAGTTAAAGTTCTCACGTATTCTAAATTAGTAGCCTCTCTATGAATTTTTATTTTAGAATTACTAATTTTATTTCCCCTAACTTTAACTTACAAATGAAATTTTATCAAGCATTTTCTCCTTCTATGTACTTTTACCATAATACTTTTTCTTCTTTAAATTAATCTATGGGGTTAACTACAGATATCAAATTTTTAATATTAAGGCATGTTCTGCATATGTAGTATAAACCCAAATAGGCTAAGGCTTTCATTTTGAATGGTTTTTGCTCACAAACAGGTCTCAGATCTCTCATGTGAAAGCTAGCCAGGCAGAGGGAGACATGTCTTTAACCTCAATACTTTGGGAGGTAGAGGTTAGAGGACCAAGAGTCCAGTAACATACTCCAAATATCTTGAGTATTCCTTATTTAAAATGGTTGGAACCAAGTGTGTTTAATATCTCAGTTCTCTTTCTCATTTTGTAGTATCTGCATAGGTAAAAGTTATCTTGAAGGAGAGACTCAAAGCTAAATATCAAATTCATTTATGTTTCACATACATCTTGTGAACAGTCTGAAGATAATTTTATAGTTCTATGGTACAATGGCTCTGCTTAGCTTCAAAGTAGCGCTACAGTTCAGTAAAAGCCCTTATAAATATAATATTAACATTCAGTACCTAATAATTAGGACAATTTCTATTATCATCTTTCATATTATGGAACCAGTTTTATGCTTTTTGAATAATTGAAAATTTTTCTCCATCTAAATTTTTCCTTAAAATACACCTAAAATAAAACCACTGATATACTTTTCTTTAAGTTTTGTGAATGGTACTCTATGGTGATCCTTCCCCACTACGCTCACTTTAAAAAAAAAAATGTTTATTTGGACTACAGTATTCCTCTCCAACAAACAACATATTCCAGATATTGTCCTAAATCAATCTTCCTTTTTCTCTCATAGCATAGTTTTCCTAGATGAAGATGCAGAGGTTGAATTGAGCATTTGAACTTGGATTCAAAACAGAGAAGCCTAGGTCTATAGAATACCACACTGATAGTACCTGTTCTTATCTAAAGTTGCATAATCTATATTTATCTTTTGAAAACCATAATCTAGAACCACTTATATAACTCCAAACTTTACAAACATAAAAACTTCAATAAAATAATTTCTTAAATGTTTTTAAGACTCCAAATACACAAACCATGGCCCTAATAATTAAAGCAATGTTACATGAAAGTCTAACACATTTCTCAAAAGAACTCTGAAGATGGCTGAGAATGCGGCTTTAATCAAATAGAAGGAGTAAAAGTATAACTTAAAGCTAATTCAACACTAGTGTTGAGTAAAAAAAAAAAATGCTGACATCAAACAGAGTTAATTAGCAAATGACAAAAGTTAAAGGCAAAGTACTCTTATTCTACGCATCTAAGATGCTTAGCGATTATAAACAGAACTATTACCTTATACACAGTTAATTAAAACAAAAGAATGAAAACCCTATACCATTTCAATTATCACATGCTTTCAACTCTTGAACACATTCAGATTTGAGATCTGAACAGAAAAAAAAAAAAAAAAAGAACTTACAATCAAAGAAATAACTGGAGAGTTAAATCACCACATAGGTGAATGAAATTAAGAAGTAACATTGAATCCAAGTAGTTGTATGATTATTCAGTTGGTATAAAAGATCATGTTAAAAATTCCAGAATATTTGGTATATTCTTACCCTGTCCTCAGAAGTGAGAATATTACTAAAAAAACCTGAAGAAATGGCACTGAATCACTAAAATACAGGCCTTTGGAGTCTGGTGATAACAAACATATCCTTAAGAATATGCCTAGAACAAACTTTCATAAGAAAATGACTCATTTATTGTGCTAACAAAAAGGTAGCAAAATGAAAACCATGGAAAACTAACCAGTTTTAATCAATTTGTCAGATGGAAAACAAAAACACTAAAACACTACTGTTATTAGAGATAATTTTGCATAGAGAATACATGATGAAGCACTTAACAGCAAAGATTCCAGTACCTTCAGTTTAACTTCCAAATACATAAACAAGCAAACAAACATAGCCATACTTCATATTCAAGCAAGACCGGATATAAACAACCAGAAAATCTGATTGTTCCTGGAGTACAGGAACTTTTTACTATTCCTGCAACTACTATTTAAGTGGAAATTATACTAGAGGATGGAGAGTTGAACCAGTTGGTAAGCAAAATGCCTATTGCGCAAGCCCAGAGACTTGAACTCTAATCAACACCCACATAAAAGCTGGCCAATATACCAAATATCTATTATCCCAAAAGCTCACTGGCTAACTAGCCTAGTGAATCAGTGAGCTCCATGTTCAGTTGAGAGACTCTATCTCAAAAAAAAAAAAAAAAAAAAAAAAGAGAGTGAGCCATTTCTCTCTACTCCCTTCCTCCCTCCCTCCCTCCCTCCCCGCCAAGATAGCAAAACAATTAAGATTTGTGAACCAAAATAAAAAAATAAACACATCAATAAAGGCAATACTGAATGAAGTAGAAAGACTATAGATAAGGAGTTCTCAATCTGAGGGTTGCAACCCCTTTAGGGGTCCAGATCCTTTCACAGGGTTCGCATAGCAGATACCCTGCATATCAGAATTTACATTACGATTCATAACAGCAAAATTACAGATATGAAGTAGCAACAAAATAATTTTATGGTTGGGGGGGGTCACCAAAACATGAAGAACTATATTAAAGGGTTGTAGCATTAGGAAAGTTGGGAACCACTGTTATAGATGCTTGACATTTATGAAAGTCTGAACAATAAAGTTGAGTATTAATTACTTAAAATGCTTGGATCTGGGAGTTTTTCATATCTCTATTTTTTTTCATTTTGTGATGTCTGCATATATAGAATGAGTTTATCTTGAGGATGAGATTTAAAGCTAAACATCAAACTAATTTATGTTTTACATATATCTTATAAATAGTCTAAAGGTAATTTTGTAAGTATTTCTAGTTTTCATTAATATCTATTAGGTATGGTCAGATATAAAATTATTCCATGGGTAATATCATGATGAGACCCAAAGGTTTCAGGTTTTGGAGCATTTTAGATTTTGATTTTCAAATTAAGGATGTTCAATTGGTCTATGTAAATTAGCAGAAAAGAAGCTTTGACAGTGATAAAAGGTATTAACACATGGCTGGGTGTTAGGGTATGCTCCTGTAATTTCAGGAAGCTGAAACAGCAGCACAAGTTCAAAGGCAGCCTGGAGTACACAGTTCAAGACTAACCTGAGAGACCTTATTTCAAAAACAAAACCCAAACAAACAAACAAACAAACAAAAAACCCACCTTAGAACTGTAGATAGAACTAATGATAAAAAGGTTAATTATGTGTAAGATGCCAGAGATATTTAATGTTAGTATCATATATCATGAGGTCATAAGAGTATATGTTACATGTCTAGGCTAGATTAAAAGACCAGTTTAAATGTTTTGGCTACAGAATTAGGAAAATAAATACCATAACTTAAACTTTTAAAACTTCTATCCAAGTTATAATGGGCAGTTTACTATACACTGAAAATCTAACTAGAGTACAATTACTCAAAATATCGTTATCTTTAATTGGTTCTGATAAATACCAATCAGCTGTAGGAACTTCACAATAATTTCTTAAATGTTTTTAAGACTCTAAATACACAAACCATGGCCCTAATAATCAAAGCAATGTTACATGAAAGACTAACACATTTCTCAAAAGAACTATGAAGATGGCTGAGAATGCGACTTTAATAAAATAGAAGGAGTAAAAGTATAACTTAAAGCTAATTCAACACTAGTTGGAAAAAATAGCCATAAAATTTAACTGACGTTAACATTCAATACACTGGAATGAAAATATACTGAATATTATCTTAATAACCATAAAATCCTTGATGAAGGTTTACGTGAAATCAAGTCAAATAGTTATAGAAGTTTCTAAATACTACTCTGAAAAAAAGATGTAGAAAGCATTAAATACAACTTTAATACAAATCTGATACCATTAGATGAATTAAATTATTGAAAATGTAAAGGACAAAATAAACATCCACTCATAATTTTCATGCTGAATATAAACTCAGCCTTCTATTCCAAGTAAAGCATCAAGAAATAAAATACACTAAAATAACAAAAACCAATCTGTCCCTACCAAATATTTTAGAATTTTAAATCTAGAATTAAAAAAAAATTAAAGAGATAACAAATTTACTTAGTGATCTTTTAAGTTATTAATGTCAAAACTCATTATCTTAAATATATTTTTTCCTTTTAAGGCAAAAGTGAGCACTTTTATAAGTATATATATATATACATATATATAAACTTACCTTTTTATCTTCCTTTACTTTGTGGGTTTTCTTCTTTATCTTCTTATCATCTACCTCCTGGTCAGATGTGATTGCAGGATTATCAATACCACCTTTCCAAGTTTCAACAGGAGAAAGTAGTGGATCTTCTTCACTTCCACGATGCCTTCCTTTTCTTTTTGTTTTAGAAGTAGTGAAAGCCTCATCATCACTTGCATCTGAGTGTGTTCTTCTATAGTATGACTTGGCTTTACTAAACAGAGTTTTAGATTTGTATTTGTATTTTGAAGGCCTACGTTCCCCATGACCTTTTGAGGTTCTATCAGAAAACCCATTTTCTTCATCTCCTTGAGTGTTATTTACAAATGAGTTTCGAATTTTAATAATTCGATTCTGAGTATCATCTGGGACAACATAAATCTCATCAGGATAGCCCTTCTGTTTGAAAATCGTGTCAAGGGGTTCCGCGTAGTTATCTGAAGAATCCGTATCTTCAGAGTGTGGCAAGGGCCCCCGGGAAGTCTGTTTCCTTGGATTCTTACCAATACCAGCTTCAATCGTTTTTAACAGGTTTGGATCCAGTTTTTTCACATTTGTTTTAGGTACAACTGGTTTAGGTTTAATAGGTGGAGGCACTTTATGGTTACGTTCATGATCATGACAATTTGGAGTGCTATGAACAGGATATTCATTTCCTTCCAAATCTAACCTGTATCTGGAACGGTCACTAGGTGTTGGAAGCAACTGTACATCATCTCCAATTGGACTATAAGGGGGTGGTGCTTCTGTGTCATCATCTGAATCAGGGTAGTTATTATAGGGAAAACAGTCTCTTGGAGACGGTAGAAAAACATCCTCACTGTGATGAGTGGATTCCCTTGTATTATCAGACAAATAGGAATTTTCTATCATATTTTTTTTCTCTAGAACATCACTGAAAAACAAAGTAAAAACCTCAGTCTGCCTATGATACTGAGATAAAGAATATAATGCTGTAAATTTAGCAGTTATCTCAGTTGCAATGTGTTCTCCTTCAGTCATTAACTCCTTGATAGCCTCATTTTCAAAAAAATCAGCTTGACTGTCAGTAACTGCCACCAGTTGTACAGGAATAGTATCTTGAACTTCTGATAGAAATGCACGAAGCATTCCCATTGATGCTTTCCTTTTTGCAGAATAAACTAATATATACCCATGAACCAGTTCATCTTTTCTTACTCCAATTGAGGAGTGGTATGATAATATTGTGATCTGTATTCGCCTCCTTTTTTCACCAATAATTTTGTCAAGCATTAATGAATTGTTCTGTCCAGCTTGAGCAGCACTGCAAGAATGAGAGTCAAGGAAAGGGGAAAGAATGAGATCCACACTAAATGGATCGCCACACATGGCACACATGACAATTCTCAAGTCAGCTTCTGACACGTCCTTATTGATAGGAACTGGGCTTACCACATCTAAATTGTGTTTAACTGATTCCAATACTCCTCTTAGGGCTTGCTTTATTTGTGATTCATTAAATTTACGAGGATATGTACCAGAAGGTACGTCTACAAAAGGACACTGTAATTTATTGGCCAACTGCTGACCTTGGTGCCTGAGAATTGGTAGATTTTTACTAATGGAATCCCTCTGATTAGCAAGAATTAATGTAAATGGAAGATTAGCCATATATTTATCTTTTCTGATCTGAGACGCTTCGGTTCTTATTTTTCCAATAAATTCCCCAATAAAATTCAGTGACTCGATGGAATTAAATACACAGAAGCACCCATGTGGTTTAAAGGCTGCAGTCCATAGCTGACTCAAAATGTAAGGCGATTTGGCATCAACAGGCCGAAGATCAAGTTCATAAATTTTTCCATCTAAGGCATACTCATCATCAGTGGATTGAGTCCTTATCTCATTTGCTAGTTCCTGGGCAAGGCCATCTTTCCCTAAAATGAAAAGATTAACTTTGTCTATATTGGCACTATCATGATACAAGCGTAAGCGGCCATGATCCGACTGTAATGGACTATTGGCAAGTAAGTGTTCCACTTTAATGTCTGTACAATATTGGCCACTGAGGCATGTTTCTTTAGTGGGATGATAAACAAATCCTATATGCTTAAGGAGAAGAGATTCTCTATCAGGTGCAAGTTTCTGTAAAGCTTTATATCTAGGTTCTTCACTTAGAACTGTATGAATTTCACTCATTTTATCAGAACTTGGTGTTGCATTAAGATCTAAATCATAAAAAAGTTCAGAATGCTCAAAAAGCATTTCCTGAAACTCTTCTTTGGCTTTTTCTACTATCTCTCGCTGATGTCTACCATATACTTCTTTGCTATCAGCCTCAGTGATGTATTTGAATGCTTCATCCTCCATGACAAAACACATAACTTCCTCCCATGGTTGCCCAGGTGAAATGAACTGAATTTTTTCTAAAGTCTTCTTAAATTTCTCCTTCATTTCTATTCTTCTTTTCTCTGATATCAGATGCTGTACATGGTTTTGATAGACCTTTTCTGCTTCTAAAGTGCTCAGAAGGTCGAATGGGATCCGTCTATCATTAATTTTGTCGATATGGTCAGTTTCATCCCAAGGTGTTTTTTCTAGCACCACAAAACATAACTGGAAATCTGCTCTCTTTTCCATTAACTTCAAAGCTTCCAACCAATTCAAATGTTCAATCTCTTCTAGATCTGGCAAGAGAGTATTAAAAGCCCTTGGTAAGGTACTTATATATTCTTCTCTCCTTTTTCTTATATGTTCCTGTTTGAGTTGTTCTATATGCTTTGAGAATGTATTTCTGGCCTTTCTTGTTCCCTCTAAGTTGATATATTCTTCATAATCAGGATGATTTTTTAATTTATTACTAACAGTTTTCCAAGTTGCATGATAATCTCTCACAGTCTGTACAAGTTTCTCAAACTTGTCTGTTGCTGTGACAACAAGTTGTCTCTGTGTTTTATAAGCATCCAGATAGGGAATAATTTTAGGCTTGCCACGAGTTTTATCCAACATTTGTACCAAAGCAGTGAAACATGTCTCAATGTTGACATTAAATCGAGCTGATGTTTCCACTACTAGAAGGTTCTTTTTGTTTGAAGCAAAGGCTTGAACTTCTCTAAGGTAATGATCCACACATTCATCACATTTAGTTGCTGCTATTATCACAGGCTTTTTGGATTTGGATAGCTGGACAAAAAGGTTATTCACAAATTTAAGTTGATCATCAAACTTCCTATTACATCCTTGACTCACATCAATACACAGTAAAAATCCATCTACATTGAGTTTTCCTTCAGGCATCTGCTTCTGTTCAAAGTCTTGCTCCAAGCCTAGCTGATCGGTGCAAATGTACATTAGTTTTTCTGCTGACTGCAATTTAGAGGCAGCTGCACGTTTTATATATGGTTGCAAATTTGTACTTCGATGAGGCAAGAAAGTCTGGTCATCAATGAACTCTGTTTGTTCAATGACATGAATTTTGCATTCTACTCCATCTTCACCATTTTGTGTTATGTCACCCCAGTATAAAAAGTGATCATTGTTTACTACTCGGCCTCCAAAGTCAATGGTGCTAAGCACAGAAGTATGCTCTGGATAATATTCATCTGCTTTTGAACGTACAAATCTATTGCACAAACAAGATTTTCCAACTCCACAGTTACCTTTGTCTTTTTCAGTCCCAGAGAGTCCAACTACACTGACAGTATAGGATGGGGGTCGAGGCTCTTTGTTTTTTGCCATCATAACTCTTTTCTCATGTCTTTACATTCATAAAGGTAACCATATATACTTTTCATTCTGAAAATAAAACCATCTCAAAATACAGATCCTGAATTTCAGAATTATATTTGGTTCTTTGTAGTTCCCTCATTGCCAAAGAAAGGTCTTCTTCAAGATCATATGGATCATCTTCCTAGAAAGGGGAAAAAAAATAAGAAAAATTTACATGAGTTACTCATGTGGAAATACACAAAGTAAAAATGTCAATAACAAAGTATTATGAAAACTAATAATTCTAATATGTAAAGACATCATATAAACAACTTATAATTTACTTTTATAAATACACATGGCCTCAAATTTTAAGGTAGATCTAACAGTAAATGCTAAATATATAAATCTAATAGCTCAGAAGCATTAAAATGAATTCCCCGCAAGCCTCTAGAAACCAAATGTGAGTTCTGCTTCTAATTACTCCTTCCTACAGATTTGAGAAAATAACTAATCTTTCCTACTCCTTTAATTTTCTTGCCTTCTATAAGACTATGTAAATAAAGAATAACTAAAATGCACTGCTTTATCAACTAAGTTACAGCTTTTACTCAATTTTGTTTTATACTGTGTCAAGGGTAGAATCAAGGGCCCTAGTGCTAGCATGCTCTAAGCAAGGACTCTAAAACAACTCAAATCTCCAGCCACATGACATAAAAACATAAAATAACTGGCTTTAGATAACAGAATTCCTCAAAGTGTATTTCCCCAGGATTGTAATTTTAGGGGGTTTTGTTTGAATGTTTGTTTTTGGTAAGTTTCAACACTCGTGTGAAATTTATTAGATACAATCCTCCCAAAATTGAGAGGGCAGAAGAAAGAAAAGGATGAGAGGTAAAGGGTAGAAAAAAGTTAATACTATTGAAAAATTTCAACTAAACCCTAATCTCCAGCAAATGCTCACATCTTTAGTAATATCTACTATATATATGCTTATCCAGATACAATGTAACTCATAAATCTAACTCTGGATACTATGACTTCCTGAGAGTTTAGATTTGGGCTACAGAATGCAGCTTAGTGGTAGACAATTTGTCTAATATTTTATTAATCAAAGCAATTTTGGTATTTTTTTTTAGGGGCAAAGAACAAAAATCTCTAATAAACTAATGATCGGAGCCCTGCTTTTCTACTATGTACGTATTATTTAAATTCACTTTGAAATTCCTTTTCAATTATGATCAGCACTAACATGTTACTAGGACAATTATGCATATGGCTTCTTTCTTAGGAAATTTCACTTTCATACACAGTAACTTATTCTCATAACATTTAGTCAACTTATTTTACTCATAATGAAAGCAAGAAATAGTAACAATGATAGTAGTGGTAGTGGTAATGGCCTGCATGAAATTACAGAGTTATCAATTTTACATACTCAATCACAAGGCTGCTTTTAATAGCTCACAGTGAGGGCTCTCAGATTCTTTTAAGCTTCTCATCTTCTCATCTTAGAAGCTTAGGGTTTATATCAAGAAAGTTATGTCAAGAGTGCCAATTAACTTTATAGAAATTAATGACAACATAGATATTTGTGTGAAACTTTCCTAGACCTTTTTAAAAATAAAGCCATTTCCTAGAACTAAGTTTTCTAAAAATTTACTAGGCCATTCATACCCTACATTGTCTTTTAAATAAAGTTTAATAACACGAAGTGGCTTTCTACAAATTAAAAGCTACACAAGAAATCTAAAAAAATAAAATCTTAGGAATTCAATTAACCTAAAATATTTTTAGAGACTAGAATGCTATTGACTGGAGCCTGGGTAAAGTGTGAGGGGAATTGAATAATGAAGAGAGGATGGAGAATGGGTACTGAAGTACCGTTGGACAGCAGAAATAACTTCTAGTGTTCTACATCACCACAGACTAATCAGAATTGAAAACAAATATTTTAAAATAACTAGTAGAGAGGTGTAATGGCTAATTTTGGTTGTCTACTTGACACACCTAGAAAGAAGAGTGCCTTACCTATTGTGGGCGGTGCCATCCCCGGGCAGGTGGGCATGGGCAATATAAGGTAGCTAAGCAAGCCAGGGAAAATAAGCCACTATGGCGCTTTCCTTCATGGGTCCAGTGCTGCTTCCCTCAATGATGAACCGTAACTATACACCAAATAAACCTTTTTTTCCTCAAGTTTGTTTTGTCAATGTTTTATTACAGTAACAGAGAACCAAACTTGTACAGAAAGGTGTTGGAATAAACCTGATCATGCTGTTTTGACAGAAGATTGCTCTCATTTGGGAGCTTTTGGTGAAAAAAGGCAGAGTGCTCAGAGTTTACCATACTGTTGTTGAAGCTTGGAAGATATGTGGATAGAAATGCAGGTGAAGGTCTGGCTTATGATGTTTCAGAGGACTAAGTTTCAATACTTCAGTCTCTCAAAGGCTCTATTCCTTTAACATTTTAATTAATCTATGTAACTAAAATCTTTGCTTTAAGTGGGACAACCAATGTTGGTAGGGTGAAGCTGAAAAATTAGTTATGATTAGTGAGAGAGGAGCATCACTGAGGTGGAATCTGGGAAGTAGTTCCTCAGAGTTAGCACATAGCTAGGTGTGAGGGGGTGAAGCCTATATCTGAAGCTGAAAGCAGAACTTGGCAATGTGTTAGATTTCCATATGGTACTGTTTTGAAGGCATGAAGAGGTTACAGAGAGCAGTTGAGTCATGACACTGTATGGCAACATCAAAGATCCCCTTAAGAGAGGCCAGTTGCAGTAGAAACCCTAGTACCGAAAGAATCATATACGGAAGCTGTGGCTTGACAGTGTCTGAGGCCAGGAAAGGTCACTGGTGAAGGTACAGCCTGTTAGTTACAGTGGACAGTCCACCATACTGGAAATGCAAGGACCATAGAATGACTAGAAAAGACATAGGTTCATAGTGGACTCGGCCTGAGACTAGGAGACAAGCTGCATGGGCTGTGAGTGGTAGAACTCAAGTTGTGGAGCTATCCAAGCCCTTTGTAGCCCAGAAGATCATGAGTGAGTTCCAGATATTAAGACTCTGAGCTTTTGTTAGATCTTGTTTTTATTTGATCATAACTGTACCCAAGTTCTTTCCTCTTAAAATAAGAAACTATATCATTTATTTTAGATTTTACAGGAACTGATAGTAAAGAGATATTGAATTTTTAAAGTATTGAAAGTTTTAAAGACTGAGACCTTTTAAAATGTATACCATGTTTTATATTGTGATATTACATTAGCACAAGACCCAGGGAGCAAAGAAAGAGTTGAAGATTTTTCACAATAATGTGTTTGTGTGTCAAACTGACAAGGGGTAAACTTGTGATGTAATCTTGGTAATCAAGGGGTAATCTTGGTTGTTTGCCTGACATGACTAAGAAAGAACCCCGACTGAGGAACTGCCTCCATTAGACTGGCCAATGAGCATGAGCTTTATAAGAAATATAGCTGAGTAAGCCAGGGGAAATAAGCCTCCGAGTTTTCCTTCATGGTTCTTGCCTCTGCTCTCCTTGAATTCCTGCTCTGACTACCTCAATGATGGACTGGGCCTAGGATGTATAGCCGAATAAAGCCCTCTCAAGTTGGTTTTGGTCCATATTTTACTATAGTATCAAAAAGCAAACTAATAGAAAAGATTTTGACCATTCCCAATATGAAAAAATGACTACGGCTTTTTCTTTTACAAGTACTGGAAAGTTTTTAACAGAAGAATGACAAGCTCTGGTTTATATTTTAAGAAGAACCTGGCTGTTCTGATATCAAAAGATATGCTAATTTCTCTGATCCAGTCATTTATCTGTGCTAAAATGCCACATTGTATCCCATATACATAGAACTACTGTCAATTAAGAAACAAATCTATAAACATTAATCTTTAAATAATAAAACTTTTGTCCCCTTTCATAAAACTGTTACATCTATTTATAAAAGTATGATTTTCAAATATTTATGCCTTTCTAGTGGCTTTGTCCTTAACAGCCCTACCCTTAAATATGTGTGCGTGTGCAAAAGTGTGTTATGTGTGTGCACATACACAAAACATACCACTTCCTGCCATCTTTACTACTATAACCCAGATTCTATCCACCATCATGTTTGGTAAATGATTCTAATTTCACTTCCTTGCATAATTCCTGTTCCCTTTCTCTGGTCTTTTGATATCAGAACAGCCAGGTTCATGTTAAACTACAAACCAGAGCTTGCCATTCTTCTGTTAAGAACTTTGCAGTACTTCTAAAAGGAAAAGCCAAGTCCTTAATGTCCTACTACTATAATTCCTGCCTACTACTATGTTCTCATACATTGTATGTTCTGAGCTACTTTCTCAAATTCTCATTCTCTTTCAGTGAGGCACACAATATGCTTAATACATTCCTGTCTTTGTACTTTCCCCAATATTTCCAAAACTACTGCATAATTAACATAAGTATTGTATGTCATTAACTCTACCTCTCTCCCATTTCACTCGATTTAAGAGCCAAAAAGGCACAAATCTATATCTATCATACTAGTATAACAAGCCTAACAGTATTTCACAAAACAGATTTATAAGACTTAACATTAAGCTGAAAACTTTTCCAAAAATGAAGGTATTTCAATCAAAGTAAATTTTGATTCATAATATACTTGGCCAGAATAAGCATATATTTTTATCTATAAATGTTAAAACTAACTTTTAAAAAAGAGACATAGGGACTAGAAGGATGGTCCAGCAGTTAAGAATACTTGCTGCTCTTACAGGGGACTTAAGTTCCACTCCCAATACCCACATGAGAGTTTACAACCATCTAACACTCCAATTCTAGGAGTTCCAACATCCTCTTCCGGTCTCCACAGGAATACTCTCACATGATGCACAAACAAACATGCAGGCAAAGCATATAAACACATAAAATGAAAAATAAATTTTAAAATCTAAAAATTAAAAATATAGCCCTAAATATAACTGACTTTATCCTTTTTTTATAAGTCATAGTATTTATTATAGAAATTACATTTCTAAGATCTGATTATACAGAAATAATTTTATAATTACTTGCTCAATCCTAAATACCCCGATGTAACCAAACATTTCCAAAACCAGACCTAACACAAAGATCATCCTATATTCAATAAGCTAAAGTAAATTTATTCAGAATAACTTAAGAAAAAAAACCCTTCATACTAAATAA